TGAAACTAGCCCCGCCCCAAGGCCAGGTTCCACAATACGCCCCCCCCCGCCATCTGGTTGCCATTCTCAATTGATTGGGAGGGGGGGTTGGCGGCGCGGGGGGCGTATTGTGGAACCTGGCCTTGGGGCGGCAGGGGGAGTAAATCCCGCCCTGCACACAGGTACCTGTGTCCTCTTTACAATTCTTAGGGATGCACCAATACTAGTACAGGTATTGGTGCCGGTACAAGTATCTGGGCGACTACTCGTACTTGCCCATATGCTCCCGGTGCCCATCCCGATACCAGAACGCCTGGTGTCAGGAAGCCAGGCGGCGAATCATTACATGCCACCCGGCTTCCTGATTAAAGAATCATTCTAATATATGAGGAAAAAGAAGACATCTATGAAAGTGCCAACATGTGTCAGGGGCCGATACTAACCCCCTTCATCAGCGCGACAATACAACAAAAAGGGGATACAAGAGTAGATAAAGTGGTCTATGTATAAGCAAGTCACCCTGTGAATCTCCGGAAACTTTCAGTCTGTGGGAACAAGAGGCGAACGTTCTTTGTAGATTTTTTTCCTTTTAAGATCAAATGTAATACTGCAATGTGGCCACTAGATGGCGCTGATGAGGACTGGAAAGATTTGCTTTGCTCCTCAGCTCCAACTAGTGGCCACATTGTGGTATCACATCACATTTGTCTCAGAACAAACATTCACAGAGATTCGCAGGGTGACTCGCATATAAACAGGCCCCAGTGTATAGTTTCACATGGCGAAAATATACACTTTACCTATCCACATATCCCCTTCTTATTGTATTGTGTTATATTGTTGTAGCTCTGATGAAGGGGGGGTGAGTTATTGTTCCTGAAACATGTTAGAACTTTCATAGAAGTCTTTTACTTGATCATACATTGCTATGGATCGGATAGAGTTGGACTAACAACCTGCGGTGCGCTGATTCGGATCCATTCGGCTGCATTAAACTGAGGAGATCCTCTGGTATGTGGAAGCTGCAAACCCAAAACCCAGCAGCATTGGACAGAAGCACCAATAGGATAAACCTGGGGTTCTGGTACTGATTATCCACCCCGCCCTGTAAAATAAGACGGCACCAGGGTCCCTAGAAGGAAGTGAGGGCATGACTG